CGTGGCAAGCAAGGAGAGAGCATGGATGCGCAGAGAGAAAGCAGAAGAGCGCTGAGACAAAAAGTGACTCACGGAATGAGAATTCGCATGGTATGGAATTATTTCTCTGAATATTCTCTCTGACATTTTACCTTCCCTTTCTTGACCTAGTCTATTCCTACCTTCTTCCATTTTAGAATGTTAATTGCTGCATGATTTGTTAAACCCCCAATTTATATCGTTAAAGGTGGCGGCGTTAGTTTTGTATTCTCGTTGTAATATTCAGAAAAGTTCAATATTATGCAGTTATATTATTGATTTTCCATGGCAGAACACGTTTGAAGGAGGATTTGCAAGAGAGTAGCACAACAAGGGATTACCTCAAATATAGCGGCTTATTGCGGAAAACTGAACCACATGGAAACCGTCGGAAGTCATGATGGATGATTAAATCGCACCTGCAACAATTGTTGACAGACTCATGGAAGTTTCGAACTCACAATACAAAACTCAGTGGGGAGCAAGCTCCGATGAATTCATCTCACATAAAAAAGAGCTCCTCGCAGGATGGAGCGACCCCTGCCATGGAATGGATTTCAAGGCAGACAAATTTTTTGCTTATCACCATTACCCAGATGTTGATCGAAAGTTGGAAATTGTATCAATGCATTTTGAAAGATGTAATCTCTGTTCCAAATGTTACACAAGACGGAGCTAGTTGTCCATGGTCACCCGCGCGTTAGAATCTCGTTTGACCATCAATGTTTGACTGTCCAATGGCGAGTTTTTGCTGCACACTTGCAACCGTTTCAGATTATATGAAATCTGTATCCTCGCTCAACAGATCTGAAGGTTTAAACGAGGAGGCTATTTAAATTGCTTTATTAGTGGCTATTATTAGTGATATGTCAAACGTGATGTGGTGGCACTGTCTCTCCAGTCTTGGGCCAGAGCTGTGGCTTTAGCTAAACTCTATGAAGAGAATATTTTCTTCCAGCCAATACTCACAAATTACTCCACTAGATAGTAATCCTATATTTCTTCCTCGGTGGCTCAAATAATATTACAGTGCTAGAAACATGATACAATCTAAAAACCTGTTTAAACGCCTCTTCCAACCTTATTAAGTTCACTCAATATCTCCAGATTAGAAATCCAGGAATCAAAAGAATTAGCTCCAGTGGAAATGCAGTTTGTATTAGTAAAAAATCTATTATTTGTGACAGAAATTTTCTTCAACCATAAATGTCCCAATTAGACAGTGTTTTGTGCAATTGGGAGAGGAGGGAAACAGAGCAAATTGTCACTGAACCTGAGAACATTACGGATAATGAGAGCTTCAGCGAGTGATGATCATCAACTTCCTTTGCACGCTTGAGTGGGGACTAAGTGTTGGAACTGGTTTTTAGCTTATGTCGGAAATATGCCAAGTGAGTGCTATTGATGGGGGCAGTTCTGACAACTCCTTCAAATCGCGAGTGGCTAAATTCCTTAAACTTCCCATTGAAAAGGCTCCAACGTTCAGAGTGATGGTGGGCAATGGCAATTATAGCGGAATTCGAAGGGTGTAATTCATCAACTGCCTCCTCAAGCTCGTGTGGCAATGCCTTCTTAGCTTTACCTGTAGCTCTACTCGCCATTTCTCGTGCTGATTTGATTTTGGGAAGGCTGGTTCAAACATCGGACTATTTGGCTGATTATGCAGCTCAATACAATTTATACATGAAGTGGGAAACGCCGCCCCTACAAGAGAGAATGAGAAACTCAAAATTATTACAGCTCATTCCATCACATCAAAAGGATGAACACAGATGCAATAGCTGAAGTTTATAGCATGCAAAGGATCAAGGAGGAAATTGATTCTTTTCTGACTGTGGAAATTCTGATATTTATGGAAGTTTGAATTGGTTTCTCGGTTGATTACAACAACTAGATAGTATTGTATTTAGTACTTCCGTGTGGCTATTCTCCTTCCGATCCATACCCATTTCATCCCTCTGATAAATGGTTCCAACTGTCAAAGTGAAAGCCTTATAGAAAATTCACAGTCAGAAAGAAAGAAATTGAGAAAGTTAATAATGGCATGTGCCAAAAAAAGGAAAGGGATAATACAGAAGGAAGTCGACGAGTCCATTTTTTCAATCATTTTATAAAGAAGAGAAAAGATGGATCTGGAGAAGCTTGTAATGATTGCTAGAGCTTAAATGCCATAACTATCACGATAGTTTTCTATTCCGATTGTTCAACTTATTTGAATATATGGTTTTCGTTATTTTCTTTCTAAATTGATCCAGATATTATCATCAATTTTCCTTAATCCAGCAGATAGATAAAGATACCTTTAGAACTTCATCAAGGACTGTAGGAATGGCTGTCATGCCATTTGGTTATCCAATGTTCGACACTTTTCGTTTAATGAATCAGTTTTTAATGGATTGTTAAGGAGAAGTTTGTAAAAAAGGTTTTTTGATTTATTATTTTGTGTAAAGGTAGCACTTTGGAAGGACATTTAGTCACTTTGGAAGTAGTTCTTGAACATTCTGAAAAGAACTTTATGCTAAATTTTTCAAAATGCTCATTTGGAGTACAGAGATTGGATATTAGAACAAGAGATTATGCCGGAGTTGCTATAGATCAAAGACAAATTAGAGCCGCCGAAAGTTTAAACTGTAATTTTGAAACAATTGGAGTATGTCTTTTTGTATTGCCTGAATGGAGCTATTACCGAAGCGTTTGTTAAGGATACATTATATTGTTGCTATTATTAACTGATTTGAAGTTGAAGAAGAGATTTTAGAATGGAGTATAGCAGATTTAAAAAAATGGATGAAAAGTTCTGTTAGAAGCTCGTCATCTCGTTCGTTTTTTTTTTTTCGACATTCTAATTTTTTGAGGAATCTCTTCATGTTGGAGACCGATGCTTTTCGAACGTAGGAGCCGTACTTAAAGTCAAAACAAGCACTTTATTGCTTATTTCTCTAAGAAATTTCAACAATTTTCGGATGCAGACAATCTATACAGAGTATTCTATGGCATCACGGAAATTATTAAATTAGTTAAATTTTTACTATTTTACAAATTTATCATAAAAATAAGATCAGAAAAGTGTCTAAAAGCAGTTAGCTTGATCAAACTTTCAAACATCTGAACCATGGCTGCCTAAATTTTAGGTATGATTTTACTATTGTACACCTCAGGGAAAGGGATATCATTCTTGCTGATTTCCAGGAAAGTTTGGCATTGGCTTGGTCTGGTTCGGTTGCAAGGTAACAAATGCCATAAAGGATGAAATTGAAGTCAATCTATGAAGTTGGGTTTAGCAAGGCTGCAGCATGGTGAATACAAGATTAGAATGTCCTCACTTGAAAAGGTAGAATTGTCAGTATTCTAAAAAAGATTAGCTGAGTTGATTAGAAATATTTATTCAACTTTTTGCCTTCATGATTCATGGGGCGGGTAGAGTGTCATTCTGGCACACCAGAACATGTTTGCCGTATTTTCGGCTTATTTATTAATAAGAATGAGAGAAGATATATGATAATATGTTCAGGAATGTTATAAGGCCGGGTCAGTTGCGACCCCACCTTTCTAGCCAGCAGGGCTGCTACAACCACTACCCATGTGATCAGGAAGATTGGTTATGAAATCCATTGCAATCTCCTCCCAAATGTGATTCGGAATGGGTAGTGGTTGTAGCAGCCCTGTCTGGTAGAGATTGGGATACTTTGGCTTGTTGACATATAACACATTCCTGAACGTATTGTCGTATATCTTCTCTCATTCTTGGCCAATAAAACTGCGCGAAATTCTGGCAAGTGTTCGGTTGTACCAGAATGACCTCCTACCTTAGAATCATGAAATTCTTGAATAATGTTTCTAATCAACTCAATGTCTTTAGGAATGACAATTCTACCTTTCCAAGTGAGGACATTCCTATGTAACTCATATTCACCATGCTTGCCAGCCTTGCTTAAACAACCTTCATAGATTGACTTCAATTTCTCATCCTTTTGTATGGCATTTGTTACTCGCTTGCAACCAATGATGTTCGAGCTCGAGACCAAGCCAATGCAAAACTCCTGGAAAGAGCATCGGCAGGAATGTTCTCCTTTCCGGGGTGTACTTGAATAGTAAAATCATACCCTAAGAATTTAGGCGACCATTGTTGTTGTTCGGGTGTTTGAAGAGTTTGATCCAATAACTCCTTTAGACTTTTCCGATCTGTTTTTATGATAAATTTGTGGCCCAAGAGGTAATGTCAGAATTTGGCTAATGACTCCGTGATTGCATAGAATTCTCTGGTATATGTAGATTGTTTCTGCATCCGAGGTGATAATTTCTTAGAGAAATAAGCAATGGGGTGCTTGTTTTGACTTAGTACAGCTCCTATTCCCGACCCGAAGCATCGAGTCTCCAACATGAAGGGTTCCTCAAAATTAGGAATGGCCAAAACCGGAGCAGTGGTGAGAGCTCTCTTTAATGCATCAAATGCCGCATCTGCTATTGCACTCCATATAAAGGAATCCTTCTTCAATAAATCAGTTAATGGTGCAGCAATATGAGCATATCCTTTAACAAACCTTCGGTAATATCCGGTCAAACCTAAAAAACCTCTCAATTGTTTCAAATTCACCGGTTTGACCCAATTCTGCACGGCTTCTAATTTGTCTTTGTCCATAGCAACTCCAGCTCCGGATAACGTGTGACCTAAATATCCAATCTCCGTACTCCAAATGAGCATTTGGAGAATTTAGCATAAAGTTGATTCTTTTTCGGGATGTTCAGAACTACTTCCAAGTGATTTAAATGGTCCTTCCAAGTGCTACTGTACACAAGAATGTCGTCAAAAAAACTAGCACATATCTCCTTAATAGTCCATTAAAAATCTGATTCATTAAACTTTGAAAAGTGGCCGGAGCATTGGATAAACCAAATGGCATGACGAGCCATTCATACAGTCCTTGATGAGTTCTAAAGGTTGTCTTGTATCTATCTGCTGGATTAAGGAGAATCTGATGATAGCCAGATCTGAGATCCAGTTTAGAGAAATAACAAGCTCCATATAATTCATCAATGAGTTCATCAACAGTCGGAATAGGAAAACTATCATTGATAGTTATGGCATTTAAAGCTCGTAATCATTACAAGCTCTCCAAGATCCATCTTTCTTCTTTACTAAAATGATTGGAGAAGAAAATGGACTCGTGCTATTCCGTATTATCCCTTCCTTTAACATGCCGGCTATTAACTTCTCAATTTCTTCTTTTCGACTCGTGAGGGTACCTATAAGGCCTCACTTTGACTGGATTGGAACCATTTATCGGAGGGATGGAATGGACATGAGATCGAGAAGGAGGTAAGCCACTTGGGGTACTAAACACAATACTATAGTTGTGTATCAACCGAGCCAATTCGGGCTCCATGTCATCGGGAATTTCCTGCAGTGGAAAAGAATCAATTTCCTCCTTGATCATTTGCATGCTATAAACTTCGACTATTGCATCCGTATGGACCATCCTTTTGATGTGATGGAATTGAGTCAGTAATCGGTACAGTTTCGTTCTCTCCTTGTAGGGTAACGTACTTCCCTTCATGTATAAATTTAATATTGAGGGCTGCATAATCGGCTAAATGAGGTCCGATGGTTTTGAGCCGGCTTGCTCCCAAAATCAAATCGGCACTAGAAATAGGCAGTAGAAACACCGGTAAAGTAAAGACATTGCCTCGAGCTTGAAGAGGCAATTGAAGAATTACACCTTCGATTCCATATAATTGCCATTGCCCACCATCACTTTAAACATTGGAGCCTTTTCAATGGGAAGTTTAAGGAATTTAGCCACTCTCGGTTGAAGGAAATTGTCGAACTGCCCCCATCAATTAGCACTTTCACCGGCATATTTCCGACATAAGCTAAAAACCGGATAGTTCCAACACCGAGTCCCCCTTTCAAAGCATTCAAAGAGAGATGATGATCATCACTCGCTGAAGTTTCATTATCAGTAATGTTCTCAGGTTCAGTGACAATTTGCTCTGTTTCCTCCTCTCCCAATTGCAACACAAAGCACTGTCTATTGGGACATTTATGGTTGAAAGAAAATTTCTCATCACAAAAATAGCATAGGCCTTTTTCTCTTCTAAACTGCATTTCCGCTGGGCTAATTCTTTTGATATTTGGATTTCTAATCTGAGAGACTGGTGGAGTGGGTAATAAAGGTGGAAGGGCGGATTTAGGTAGGTTTAAGGTTGGCTTAATCATGTTTCTAGCTTGTATATTGGTTGAGGTACCGAGGGAGGAAGTAGGATTATATCTAGTGGAGTAATTTACATTGGTCTTTATGGCTGGAAAATATTTCTCTTCATAGAGTTTAGCTAAAGCCACAGCTCGTAACAAGTTTGGAGGAGACAGTGCCACCACATCACGTTTGATATCACTATGTAAGCCACTAATAAAGCAATTTAAAATAGCCTCCTCGTTTAAACCTTCGGATCTGTTAGCGAGGGATACAAATTTCATATAATAATCGAAACGGTACCGCATTGTTGCGGCTTAAAGAGCTCCGCCATTGGACGATCAAACGGTGATGGTCCAAAATGAGATTCTAACGCACGGGTTAAAGCTGACCATGAACTAACTGCTTCCATCTTGTGTAACATTTGGAACCAAGGAACCACATCTTTTTCAAAATGCATTGATGCAATTTCAACTCGATCAACATCTGGAGTGTGGTGATAAGCAAAAAATTTGTCTGCCTTGAAAATCCATTCCATAACAGGGGTCGCTCCATCATAATGAGGAAAACCCAGGGAAATATCTTTTATCGGATAATTCATCGAGAGCGAAGATGCTCCTACACCTAATTTTGTGTGTGAGTTCGAAGAGCTTCCATGAGTCTGAGTGGAATTGATCAACAATTGTTGCAGAGTGCATTTAATCTCATCCATCGTAGTTTCGTGAGCTTTGTTTTTGGTTTCCATGGTGGTTTGAAGTTTTTCCACTGTCGCCGCTAACCTGTTGAGATTGTCCACTGTTGTGCGTACTTCTGCTTGCAAATCCTTCAAACGCGTGTTCTCTGCCATGGAAGTCAATGAAAGCACCAATGTAACAGTGCAAAATTAATAATGAAGAACAGAAGCTTTTCTAATTACGTAATATTGTTTTCTGAATATTACAACGAGAATTTCAGAATCACAAACTAAATTGCCACTGCAATAGCTACAGTAAATTGAGGGGTTTAACAAATCATGCAGCAATTAGCCATTCCTAAAATGGAAGAGGTAGGGAATGAGATAGGTCCAGAAAAAGGGAGAATTAAAATGTCAGAGAGAAGTATTCAGAGAGAGAATATTCCATACCATGCATAATTCTCATTCCATGAAGTCACGCAATATAACGCTCTTCTTTCTCTCACGCTTTCCTCTGCGCACATCCATGCTCCTCTCCTTGCTTGCCACGTGGCCACCATGCCCAACAACCCTACCCGCCTTTTCTGCACCCTCATTCTTGCTTGTTACATAAACCATCTTTTATTTCTGTCCTCATAAACAATCACAACGCAATCACCATATTCTACAAAAGTTATCCCCCAAATATATACTTTCATGGCTTCCATTCAAACCTCAACTCTATTTTCTTCTTCTTTCTCCTGCATGACTCCAATGAGAGTAAATGCCGCAATCCATCTTCCAAAGCTCCCAAGACTCAATGTTTCAATGCCAAAGATTCCCATCACTACCAGAAACCTGGTTGATGGGTTAACATTTGCCGACTCAGTCCCTTTACTTGGAAACAATGTCACCGGGACACAGTTAGGCGATGATCCATCCAATTCTACACCCTCCACGTCCACCATGCAACTCTATGCAATCTCAATCTGTAGCTGACAGATTTTAAAATGCACATAAACATTGGTCAGCAGCGTCATAATTGGAACACTCTCCTCTTGAACAGCATCAACATGATCACTCTCACTACTACCACATTGGTTGGTGTTGCAGCCACAAGTGGTGAAGGAGGACCCAATTTGGCTCTTAAAATATCATCCACTCTCTTGTTTTCTGCGGCCACTGGGATGTCACTTTTGCTTAGCAAGATCCAGCCCTCACACCTCGCTGAGTAGCAACGTAATGCCACAAAATTGTTTAAGCAGCTTCAGATTCAAATCCAAACCACAATTGCTCTTGGAAATCCAACAGAAGAAGATGTAAATGGCTCAATGGAGAAGGTCTTAGCACTTGACAAAGCTTACCCACTTCCCTTGTTGGGAGCCATGCTTGACAAGATTCCCGAAAAGTTTGAACCAACTGTGTGGTGGCCTTAATCTCATCAGTTCGAAAGGAAAATGAAAAGTCAGCAGGGAAAAGCGAAAAGCAGGAGGGACAATGGATGGAGTGAAGAGCTAGAAATGGAATTGAGGGAGGTTGTTGAAATGGTGAGGAGAAAAGACGCTGAGGATTTTGAGAGGCTAGGAAGCATGGCGCTGAAGATGAACAAGAGTTTGGGCATAGCAGGTCCTTTACTGAGTGGCATTGCAGCAGTGGCATCAGCATTGGTGGGGAGTGGATCATTGGCAGGTGTAACGGCAGTCATGGCTGGCTCACTGGCAGCTGCAATCAATGCTTTGGAGCATGGTGGGCAAGTGGGGATGGTGTTCGAGATGTACAGAAATTGCGGGGGATTATTCCAACTGTTGGAGGAGACAATAGAAGCTGAGGTGGAAGAGGAAGACTTGGAGAGAAGACAAAATGGAGGACTTTTTGAAATGAAGATAGCTTTGATGTTGGGGAGAAGTGTGTCACAGCTGAGAGAACTCACCACAAGATCAGCTTCATGTCGGATGGAGGGAAATTGTAATGGATGAATTTGCCAGCAAACTCTTCTGATCCATAACGTTAATTCATTGACTTCATCTCTTGTAAAGTGAAGACAATACATATTCTTTAATTCTTTTCTCTCCACTTGTCTGATGTAGAAAGAAAAAGTTTTGTTCAATCCAATGCTTGTTTTAATCAGAAAATGTTAGTCTCCTAATATTTAAAAACTCTCTGTCAATACCCTCTCAACTCTTCTATTTGAAATATAAATGATTGACTTTACAAACAGCCAAGTGGTGAGTGAGATGCTTATTCTTTACTGTGTTTTCCACCAAAAACATTGCCATCCACTTGATTTGTCCAGAGAGAATACTTAACGTCTTTCAAGTGGATTGATAATTATGAATTGAATCTCTAGAATCCACTGATTCCTTAGTTTCCCCACTAATAAACTGATCTATGTAATCTTTAAAAGTCTCTTGCATCTTCTTTTAACACTGTTACTTTAGTTTATTTTAAACAAGGTATTCTCTCTCTCAGGTTTACTTCCTACATTTTTGTTCCTTCTTTCACTTTTTTGGAATTTCTCAACTAAAAATTTTGCATCTTGGTCATCATCATGTGATATCATTACACATAAATGAAGATGATTTATCCTTTTTGACACTTTCATCATTATAACTATTGTACACTGGATAAAAATTGTTTGAGAATCCATTACTACACAAACAACCAATTGACAATCATTTATTTTTATTTTTAATTTTGAACTCACTTATTATATATTACTATTAATATAGGATGGTAGTCTATTGGTTGTTGGTTTTTTTTTTTACACAGTTGGGAATATCATTGCTTTTGTACACAAGGTGAAGTTAGTTATCCTACTATTCGTGTGGACCTTGTTTAATGTTTGTAATTTTAGATTAATCAAATGTTTGGTTGGATTTAGATTGATTATTGTAAAGAATGGGCAGAAGCTTAATAGTTACCCCTACTTGATATACTTGCAAAGGAAGTGTATTGTAATTGTAATTGTCAGATTGAATCATCTACCTGTTCCTATTTAATGTCATTGCTTCATTGTGTCTCTTAATTTGTTATTTTTTTTATATTAGAAATTGAGATTCTCTAATATTTTAATATTATTTTTAATATTTTCTAATATTTTTATCTTGTCATATTGAAATTATTACTTTAATAATAAAAAATTGACACTTTAAATAAATAAGTTAATTAGTGTGAGTAATTTTGATGGAGAAAGTAAAATTATAATGATTTTATTAAAAAAATGTTAAAAAGCCTTAATATAAATTAAGAAAGGTACTACTTTTGTTGATTTGTATAGAACCAAAAAGGAACTACCATAAGTGACGCATTCAGTATCACGGTTGCCGGTGCATAATTTATAGTTCTAACTTGGTACTCAGATTTGAAAAAATGTGGGGAAAATTACAAGATAACATGCCACATTCAACTCATATATGAAAATTGATATGGAGTTATGAATGCAATTGAAAGCCTTGTATTTCAGACAATGACATTAACATTGACTTTAACACTCAAATTATGGGAAAATTTGTCAACAAGGAGGAGTAATTAGGAAATGTTTAAGGTATAAATACAGAAGTAAATTAGGATGGCTTATAGTATTTTGTTGGTACAAATGGCATTTTGGAAACTACTCCTTCATTGGCTTTTCCTCGAATGATAATCTTTACTTTGGTGCCTGCCTTGTGCAATCCAGATTTCACATATCCCATAGCTATGTTCTTCTGGAGGCAAGGACTGAATCCACCACTGGTGATTTCCCCAATGTTCTTCCCTCCTTCATCTTGAATCTCACTGTGGCTTCTGGGGGGTGGACCAGAAGAAATGAAACCAACACGCCTGATGGAAGGACCTTCTTCAAGCTGTTTCAGGATAACATCAGCTCCTAGAAAACCACCTTCTGCTCTCCTCCTCTTCCCTATAGCCCATGTGAGGCCTGCTTCAATTGGTGTAGTGTGCTGTTCCATGTCATTCCCATATAAGCACAATCCAGCTTCAAGTCGCAGACTATCTCTTGCACCCAATCCTGTCAATCTTATCTTCCCTTCAGATTTTTCCAGTATTGCCTTGGCAAGATCTACACCATGCTCTGAGGGAACTGATATCTCAAATCCATCTTCTCCAGTATACCTGAAAGTCTCAATTAAGAAAGAGTTACTCGTTATGCTTGGTGCAACCAATTAGATCAAGCATAGAGGTCCTTATAAACTGTGCTAACAACACAAACTTGCAAATAAAACAAGATTACTTAATCACAATAAGAAAGTTAGTGTCTTGGAAAGGAATGGCATGACAGGCAAAGTAATACAAGATGGAGTTTCAGGTAAGTTGATTAGCACTCAGGATGAACTTTGAAGAAGGAATTGATGATGTTGGTAAAGAAAAGCATACCCCGTTCGAGTAAGAAAGCACTGTGAGCCATTTATGTCCAACACATGGAACTCCCCAAAGTATATCTTGCTCAAATCCTCTTTTGTGAGGTGTTGAAGAACGGGGGCAGCAAGAGGACCCTGCACCAGAGACAATAAGAATCCTTTATTAATGTTAGAGTGAGGAACCGTTCACTAATTTAGAAGCCCCTCAATTTATTTGAATATTTTAACATGACTACAAATCACCTAAACAAGAGAGTCATGATCATTATGACCACGCTATACAAAGTTTTAATCTTGTGACTGGGAAAAGAAAACAAGAAGCATGATTAAATAGTATGCCACCCTACAACGAAAGATACAGATAGCAGGTGACATGACAGTATACTAAATGGTTTTTTAAATAATTAGATCAATGTGTAATGTTTCTAGAGAGAAGACCTCAAGCAGCAGGGTATAGGTACATAGGTAACACAGAACAGACAAAACAAGTTAAAAGTGTGTTTAGCATGATGTCAATATAGAAGAGCATGTGAAATTACCTGCAGTGCAAGAAGAGATCTCTCATCATGTATGTGCCATGACACATCACCACCTTTGGCCTTGAATGCCTTCATATGCTCCTCAATATGAGCCAGATCTTTATCTCTGCAGCCAGCATTCACAACCAAATATATATGGTTATCCGTCACCTTGGTAATTACTGAATCATCAATTGCCCCTCCCTTTTCATTTGTGAAAACAGTCAGTGTCCCAGTTCCAGGGGCAAGCCCAGCAACATCAGCAATGACTAGCTTTTCAAGGAAGGGGACGGCATCCTTCCCTTTGAGGCTCAGCCCACACATGTGGGAAACATCAAAAAGGCTACCATTCTGCCTACAGTTTATGGTTGAGTCCATGATTGAGTCCTTGTACTGGATTGGCATGCTCCATCCAGCAAATGGAACCATCTTCCCACCATGAGCAACATGGAAGTCATGAAACACTGTCTTTTTCAGCTCAGCTTCCGAAGCAAAACATCGACGAGCAACAGCCTTCTTATCTCCATGAGCAAGACGACGTGTGACCAATTGCCCAAGTTGCCACAATCCCCCCCTCATTTTCTAAGCTAAATATCTGGCAATCACTTAAAAGGTTAAGATAAGTTATTGACACGCCACAGTGATAAGGGTCAAAGGATTTCATGTCATTGTAATTAAATCAGGTCATTCCTAACCAAAATCTCCATGTCAAAACTGAAACAATATATTTGGTGGCATCGCAGCGCAGGCAGAGACAAAAGGAAATAGAATTCTCATGAAACATTTAAAAGTCACATTCCATAAAATTGTCATAGAAAATCTCTAACCATGACATTTTGCAGAATTCAAAAGGTGAAACAACATATCAGTGTATAAGGTGACAAATGAAAAACCGTGAGAGGAATCAATCATATACCATGTAATAAAACAAATAATAATAATAATAATAAATGGGGTTGCATATCACCTATCCTGTACCCAGAAAGCCATAAAAACTACATCGCTATTACTTTCTAGATCTAAATATCAATTTCCAGATCATCAAAGAGGGAGTAACTAAATATACGGATCAATATGATAAGCGAAATGGTAAAATGAAACTGAGAAAAAGATAAGAGAAAGGTAGAGCACTGACATAACGGAGATTGGTTTGGAGTGTGTAAGGAATTGTTGAGGAGAATGAAGCAAAGGTTGGAGCCCAAAACAGAGAAGAGAAGAGGAGTGGAGTGTGTATGAAAGAAAAGAAGAGGGAGGCTTATCTAATGGACTTGGACGTAAATACAAGATATATATTTAAATAAAGAAAAATGAAAAAGAAAAAGAAAAAAAGCGGGAGTTGGTGGCTGTGAGAGTGAGAGAGAGAGAGAGGTGAGAAGTTCCTCTTCTCAGATCGACACACTCTGTTGATAATACCACATCGTTAGTGAGTGGTCGAAGCACTACCAAACCACACACACACTCCTTCCCAATCTCTTTCCGCTAATAATACGTTCAATGGCTATTCTTAAAATTAAAATATATGCTTTTATTTAGTTTTTTTATTCCCTCACTATTCAAATATGCATCTTACAGTAGACAGTTTAACAACTTGTAACTTTAATCTTAAATAAATATTGTATCTCCACAATTTAAATACATATAATTAAATATAACACAATATATACATATATATATATATATATATATATATATATTTAATAACAAAATTATCATAATTTTATTCTTTTAATTAATAAAAGATTAAGCATTTTTTATAATAAAAAATATTTAAAAAAATCTTGTTGATTCTCCTAATTTTATTGCTAATCACAAACTTTGGGTAATTATGGTAATAGCAATTACACACTAAAAAGGAAAGTAATGAAGCAAAGAAGTTGGTGAGATGGTCTGGTCATGAACGAGAAGTAAAAGAGAAACTGAGGGAACTGACTTGAAAAGGTTTTTATAACAAAAGTTTGAAGGTAGCAATTGGGTAGTTGGTGGCTCTGGACTTGGTAATAAAAACTTATAAAAACTAAAAGAGGGACTTGTAATTCTTATTCGAGTGAAAACTTGTAATTTTCATAGCTTGTCTCCAAGTAGATGATAGTGTAAAAAACTTTTATACTCCATGTATTAATTATTTTTAAAATACTGTTAATTTGATCATTAATGTGACATTATTTTAGCATCAGTCAACTGGCCAGGAAAATAATATATAAGTAAATTACTAAAATTATCAATCTTGGGGGATGCAAAAGTAAGAGATAACATATTTGGAATGGATACTAGATTTAAATCAAACCTTGTGGACGTTGGGAGCAGAAACGAAAAACATAAGAATCATAGTTTGGAAACAAACAGTACACGGAACGTAAGTATTGTCTGTAGCGCAGAGATTTATGATATTAAGAGTTGAAAGAGATTGTTGGTAGCCAGAAACCATTCATCATATTCGTGGTTCCGCTGAAGCCCCGTTTCACAGATACTTTTCTAAATTCTCTCTTCCCATGTGCTATTTCTATTTGGTGTATCATCAGTTAAGTCCATGCTTACCCTCCACCAGGTATTACTCTCCCTCTCCAACCCCCTTTTCCTTATTCGCTTCCTCTTGTCTTTATTTTTCTTAAACCAACCTCTTTTCATTTATTGGTCCTCTTTTCATTTATTGGTTTTTTGAAGGGTACAATATAATGGTTCAAACATGCTAACGGTGTATGCTCCTAGAGCTATTCTAAAGTGCCATTTATACCAAGATTCAGCTTCTGCTCAACAAACATATCCATGCAAGATCAATAACAATATTAATTTGGTGAATTGCAATCCTAAACCTTTTGGCAGTCCTTCTAGTAATATATTATTCCATAGTTCCTCCTTCTCTGGGAAATGTGATAAGCTACAGAAGAGCCTTCATCTATTCCATCATGTTGCCACACATAAATGGCTCGTAAGCATGCTTGCTGGACCATTAACTTGTGTAGTTTAGTTGATTTATCAATTATCATTGCTATTGCTGATTGATTTTTTTTTTGGCATGATGTGAAGTGTGGGTTACAGGATTCCGTTTCATCTGATGATGAGTACCGTTCTTCACGCAATATAGCCATCAGCTTGTTCAGGCGATACAAGAACTTCATTGATCGTGGTGGAGCCGACAATCTAAAAGTATTTCCATTGACATGCCTCCATTGCACCCTTTATTGATTCTTTCAATTCTTTATATTCTAATTACCAGTTTGTGTTGCGTGATTTCACTCTCAGGAGTTCATCACTGCAGGGGTAAATGCATATGCGCTCGGATGCACTGATGAAGGATTGAGGAAAGAACTTATGGATATGAAGAACTCTGGGATTGAAATTGATGTAATGCAAAGTTATGGTGGAAGCACAAGCTTGAAATCTAAGATCGTCTCAGAGGAGGTCAGTTCTAACCAGCGAATTCTAAGTCATGAATCATGATTATCACAAAAACTTCTTTCGAGGATTAGCCTTATTAAGATCATAAATAGATAGAGCTGTGTCTGTGTAGAAGAAGCTGAATTTCTCCCTTATGTCTAGCAGATTCATAAAGACAGGTTTTCCTTTATATAAACAAACAGGGTAAGCCTCTTTGAAAGAAGCAACAGTACCAGCAATTATACAACTGATAGTTGTTAGTTAAACTTGTTAGTTTGTTAGTTCACTTAGTAACTAGATGGTACTGTCCTAAATGTTAGCTCTTAATTCAACACCAAATTGGTATCACTTCCCAATATTGTTAACTTGTTTTGTTGGTCATGAAGTCTGCTAGATCTCAGTTGTCTTGCACTTAACTGTGTGTCATGCAGGTTGATGAATGTATTTTCTGGTTAAGCATTATATTCATCACCATCTTGTGCACACCCCAACCAACCATTGTTAGATGGTCATCTACGCCTCCAGTGTCAGATGAAGTGAGACTTCAGTGGAATGGCTTTTGTGCTCTTATAGCAAATGCATATTTTATGAAGGGAATGGCTTGGTGAGAAGCCATCCTTGCACTTGTTTTTTTCCTTTTTTAATATATGCTTCAAGTAGTATGTATGATTTTTCGTAATTAAAGAAGATCATCTACCACAACTGTTAGGGGTGACGTTTGTGTGTCCTACTTGACTGTAGTCATTAATTAAAGTTTGCAAGTAACAAAAGCCTATTGGAAATTCACAATATTGCTTACTGTGTGTTTATTGAAGGCTTCCCGTGAAGACTCTTCAATTAGAACAGACAGCTGTGATGGGTGAAGCTGAGAAACCGTCAGTTGTTGCTAGCCGAATGCGATTAGTCTTTAGCACACTTGAGGTTAGCAGTTTACATTTTAGTACGATCAATGTATGGAAATGATTACCATGGGGACCATGACATGATACATTTCAGTGTTTTTCTTGTTTAAGGATCCATATATGATCAAGGTAGGAGGAACATGGATCTCACATTGATTCATTTCCTGGATTTTTTAGCTTATTAAAAATAGTAATAGTACACGACAGAGGATCACATGTATGTGTTAAAGATTATTACTTTTTAATGTCTCGCTAGTCATGTCATGCTCGTCTCTATATCAAAATAGAAAATGTAGCAATTTGACTGTTTCAGGTTGTGAGTCCACAGTGGCCAAGAGCATAGAATACGAGATCAAGATAAATCTTCCTCCCAACATTTCACGTAGAGTTGTATTCCATGTGTGCGGACAAATGTAGCAGCATTTTGCCAGAGGATATTAAAAAGGAAAGCAAATAATGAACTGGATAGCAATGTAGTCCTTAGTATGTTTTAATGCGTCAATATGGATTTCTATTTTGTATTTAAGCGATACGTTATATATTATTATTATCATATATGTATATAATGCCCTTCTATTGCTTCAAAAAGAATTACGGGAACTTATTATCAACAAGTCCAAACAAGGATTAATTCATTCATTGGTTGTTCAGTTTACCTTCAAACGTTTATTTTACATACTTCCCTACGTCTTTATCTGATTCAAATCGTAATCATTTTTCAACCAGTAACTAGACAATCATATTTGAAAATCTTCTAAAAGCACCCGTCCCATTTGTGTCTATTAAATACATTTAATATATCTTTCTCGTTTGCATGGCCCAACAAACACATACAGGAGTGCAAGGGTATGCTACAATCACCGGAAAAAAAATGGGAAAATGCACTAAATTTTAACTCAGGGAACAATTGTAATTTATATAAGCCTTTACAGAAAACTGAAAGATACTCTTCTGCTCGTGTTTTACAACCTAACCCATGTGAGGAACAGTTATCAAAATAAATCCTAAAAGAAAATCCCCCAGACTTTAGTCGTTAGTATATAGCTTTTGGTAAAAAAGAAAAGGAAGCTCTATTCCTCACCCCTGTTGAGAAAGGGAAAACAAATTTGGGTCTAGACTAGCCAAAAGGAACAAATTCCTAATGTAAAATAAAATATAGTGATCAAAATTGAACTCTGATAGTCATGACCGTAATTTAGAAATTATCACATATCTGGAGAAGCAACAAATTCACTAGCATCTTTGAGTACTCTCCTTGCACGCCAATAAATAGCAGTAGCCTTTTCCGATGTCCCCATCTGCACAATCAACCTCAAAAAACAGTGTCATGGATGCATCACTTGGATTGAATGATAAACTATCAGCACATACGTACAAACCAGATACGGTAAACAATTTAAAAAGAAGAGCAATTTAAAGGCGTATTCAGTTTTCCCAGCAGTATTAATACCACAAGGGAAACAAATCCTTTACCTTGGTCTCCATGCGATAATAATCTTGCCATAAGCTGACATTTTGATCATAAGTTGCGAGTGCAGATTCATACAACTTCCTAGCATTTATGAGACCACCTTTATCTCCTATTGATGCAAGGCTTGTTTCCAACTCAATGCAATGTCTATGTAAGGCAAGGCCAGGATGCGGTAAAGCTAGAAATCTGCAATGAGGACCAATTGTAGAATTTATAGATTTAAAGACAGATAACCCGTGGGAGCATATTTTGGGGAGCTAATTCCACTGTACATACCGTTTATAGATATCTCTGGTCTGCTGAATTCCATCTTTTTGAAGCACAAAACTTACAATGGCAGAAGAAAGGGAAACCCCATTTTCACTGCCACCATCTCTGACCAAAGTATCAACAGAAATCTCCACCAGTTTATCAAAATATTTTCTTTGATTTGCATAGAACTTAAGGGCCTGCATGGAGTGAATGTTAGAAAGTTGAACTATAAGAAGAACTTTGCAGCTTCAATATTATACAAAATAGTTCAAGTGAAAAAAAATCAATTCACAAGCTGAACTAAATATTTAATAAAAATGTATGAACATTTAATAGCAGAGAAAAGTAAATAGAATATATGTTCATCACTAAGGAGATGCATTCTATCACCAATTTCAGTTTCAAGTTCAACCCGCAGACACTGCTTTCCAAGACGAGAAATAAGTTGAAGGACAACAGCTATTTTTGCGGCGTCATGAATCATCATGTAAGTCTTTAACAATAAACAATTAACATTGAATCTTCTCTAGGAAAAAGCATATGGATACCACATTGAAAAAAGAAAATCAGATAATTCTAACCAAAACACTGTTCAAAAATAAAATTATCAAGGAAGGAATGAATCAACAGAAATTTGTGTAAAAATTATTTGATTGGGTACAAGACATCATTCACAGTAGAAAAGCAGAAATAATATACCGATGATGACAGCATACCTTTAGCCACAAGTTATTTGATTTTGAAACAGAAACTTTCATCAAAATTTGTTGAAGTAGTTCAAAAAGGGTTTGCAAATCAGCCTCACTAGGTGTAGGAGAATTTCTTGTGATGTATCTAATTTCTATAGTAATTCTCAACCCCCATAACTCAACCGATTCTGCAAGTTTTCCACTGCAAAGCTTTGCTGCCAGTTTCCGGGCCTCATCCAGTTGTCTCAATTGCAAATGTAAGGATATGTGCTTGCAAGCAAGATCTTCAGTAATACATCCCATGCTTTCAGCCCTTTCGTATATTGACAAGAGTTGTGACATATAGTTTACAGCATGACCTGACGACCCAATTATATCAGTTTCTCCTTCTTTAGGAGCTACAATAGCCGTTAGAAAATTTGCATATAAACTAAACATAGTTCCTGATGGAATATTTTTCAAAGCCTCCTCATAAACCTACAAAACAGATAAGGGTCAGGGCCAAGGTTCACTGCACCAACAGGCATATGAGAAAAGAATCATAGAAAAATCCAACACAACCATTATCTAAGTATTAGTCCTAGAGCTGGGAGACAATTAAATTATTAAAATGGGATTACCAAAATAACCTTCTTCGTCAAAATATACCTATTTTTCCTAGTTTCAGGGTAAAGCAGACAAAAATTTCAGTCACCAAAATAGCCTTCAGTGACACCCCATGCTCCCTATGGTTTTAGAAGTTCTCAAACACTCATACCTGAACTGTCTTTTCCACCCGAGGAATTATGACGTCTTCACTTATCTCTTGAACATTTTCAAGATCACATTCCCGCCTTGCAAGCCAGTCCCAAAATTCCGGTTGTGTTGAAAAATCCCTCTTCATGTCATTCAATATCTCCTTACACATATCTTCATGATGTGACAAATTTGTACCCTCCAAGATTTCAAAAAATCGCTTCCTAAGACTGAGACTTGAAGGTACAGCTTCAACCGCTCCACCATAGACAGTCTTAAACATATTCATACCATGTTCAACAAACAATTCCTGCTTTTTTTCTGACTCATCACTTCCAACCACTGCTCCATCATTATCATCACCATCCTTTCTTTCATCTAGTGACATGAACAACTCTTTGTTTTCATCCCTCCATTGTTTTTCATCAGAACTCTTAGGATCACGTGTGAGAGTTCCTTCATCCTCACCCAAAGCAACCTTCCGTGCCTTCAACTTATTAAGGTAAGTAAGTTCCATCCGAAGATACTCCACCCAAAGGTCTTCCGAAGTAGGACAAACTCTGAGACCTTCCTGCATCAAAGCACGAGCAGCCGCAACATTCAAGTTATGATCAAATTCCCAAGCCGCAGCATAAATCCAAACTCCCGGAACCTTTGGATGAAACCTAATAAGTTTCGCCAATCCCTGCAAATTATTCAAAACAACAATGTTCACATATACATACAAACATACAAACACGTAATACAAGGACAGACACATAAAAGCACACACAGACATACATGTATTCAATATGCGAAAAATCCAAACGAAAATGCAAAGCGTAAAACAAGGTTATGTACCGTCTTCATCCTGCCATTTTTTTTTGTCCTGCAAAACTCGAGATAGCGAAACCAGAGATCGATGTCGCCCTTGTATCGCTTTAAAGCGAGCTCGTAAACCTCCATAATCCTACGCAAGCCTGCGAAATCAGACTTGGATTTGTTCAGCTTCTTGTTGCCTTGCTTCTTCAATTCCCGCGCAACGGACTTTTTGCGAAGCCTACGGAGCGCATCCAATTGAGTCTCGTACTCGACGTAGGCCAAGTAATCTTGCTTCAAAGGACATGGCCGCTTCAGCTGGTACTCAAATTTTCGACGCTGCTTCACGATCTCGGCAATCTCGCGGCGGCTGAAGAGACCACGCTGCTCGAGGTCGTCGAGCTCATCCACCATGCGCTCCAATCGGTATTGCACCACGTCCGCCATGTTGCTTGGTTATGAACACCGTCGAACAGAGTATGAGCAGCGGATGCACAATCGTTTGGTTTCGAACCTGCACCTATCTATTTAACAGTTGAGGTTGAAGGAGGGTTTTGCTTGTGTTGGATCTCTTTTTGAAAACTAGCCAACCATTCTACAGCCCATAATTCGCCAAATCCTGGATCATAAGTATTGGGCTGGGGCCTTTGTTGGCTTCAGACAGAAAAAATATGCGAAGTAATAAAGAAAAAGCCCACGAAACATACAAATTAAGAAGCAAAAGATATGTAAATATTCATTCAGGAATTTCCGAAGGGAAATTGTTGAAAAATCAAACCATTTAAAAAGAAAAAAATTATAAAATAAAGACTCGCAATCTTAATTTATTATGAAAAACTAAAAAAAAATCTTTTAAATAATTTCAAAATCGAATATATATTCAAAAGTTCATTAGGTAAAAAAATATATTAACAACCTACAGCAAATACACAAAATTAATTTAATTTTTATAATATTTATTTTTTCCAAATGATATATATAAATTATTAAAGTTTTTTTAAAAGGAAAAATATTTATAAAATTATTTATTTAGGTCCGAACTATATATTTTCATTCACAATAAAAAAGTTAGGGTTGCGCAATAAAAAAAATTGTGAGGATTGGTAAATGCAAACTTACTTGAATTTGTGGTTTCACTGCAGGAATTCTGAGAAAGTGATTCTCACACGGTTCCTTTGAAGAGAGTGTTAATGAAAAATGTTTGAACAACTGCCTAATTAATTATTTCTGGCTGCTACCTTCAATAATGCTGAATCTCTTTTCCTTTGTCGTTAGATTCATAATCTGTGTGCCCTTCTTTTTCTTTATCTCTCTTCCGTTTTCTTCTTTTCCGGCAAATGCCTTCACCCTTTGCTTTGTGCGGATCCACACCTTCTCGTGTTTTATCTACCGTGAGCCTTTATGCAGAGGAGCAGGAAGGTGATTGCGGAGAGTTGAGATAATCAGGGAGATTATAATTGTTACTAGAAAAAAAGAAATTACGAGAGAGGTGGAAAGGTAAGTTATAAGGCTACTAATAATTATAATAAGTTTTTTCTTTAAATTATAAATATTATTTTAATATATATTTTATTTTTCAATATATTTAAGATAAAATTCTAATATTTCATTCAATATTTTTTGAATTTTTCTTAAATTAAATAAAAAACATCTTTTTAATATATTATAATATTTTATTTTTTTATATTGTCAAATTTTATTAAATATCCTTCATTATCAAGAAGAAATACTCCTAATAATTTTTCTATACTAAAACTAATAATAATAATTATTATTATTATTATTATTCATTAAATTTATATATGCGCATATTTTAATATTTATTATTTTAATAAAATTATTTTTTTTAATTATTAAATATATATATAGTAATATATAAAAAATATTCATAATTACTTAATATTATATTGTAAATATTTTTAATTATTTAATAATATATTATTTATTGTTTATGTGAGACGGGATTCATTTGCTATAATTATAATATATTAAAAACTTTGGTCAGTGATAACTTTTTTGATTAATTTATTTATTTTTTTAAATCAAATTTTTTAATAAAATTATTATTTATTTATCAATAATTTAATATATATATATATATATTAAATTAATAATATAAATTAACATATTGTATTAAGAAATTATAATTTAAAATAATTAAATTAAAATAAAAAAATATATAATACTAAATATAAGTAATATTAAAATTTGTAAAATCTTTATTTTTATAATAAAAAAATTTAATATCTAAAATGAAAATTATATTATATTTTTTTATTTCATCTTATTTTTTTCATTAAGTATTTCTCACGAGAAGACAAAATTTATATTATATTTTTAAACAAAATTTATATATATATATATATATATATATATATATATATATATATATATATTCTCACAGAAGATGAGGGAAAAGAACGTACGCTTCAGAGTATTTCCTGTGATCGGAGGAGTGGAAGTTAAACTTTTTTATTATTATTTTTTTTCATAAATTTTTAACTTATATATCATTCATATTTATAACTTACTCTGTTATAATAAAAATAATTTTTTTATCAAGTGGACTGTGCCATTCCATCCCGCACATTGACCCAATGACCAGGCGGGTCACAGGCCCAAAATATCAATCTGCCCGTCATAAGTTTTCAGAATATCCTTATCCACTAATTACTTTAGCATAAAAAGTGTAATCATAAGTTTCTTTACCTAAACCATGAAAAGTTAATTACTAGTGGGAAGAAAAAGTAAGAATTTAAATTATTCCTGCATTCTTCTTTTCTCAAATTTAAGTGTTATCTATTCATATCTTTTCTTGAATTCAATCTAAACGTATTTGAACATTTGGTAAGTTCAGCTAGTTTCTATTTAGCTAAAAAAATATTCACGCTAATATATATATATATATATAACTTTCCAACAAAATGTGTTGTAATTATATAAACTGATATTTTACTATGATCTATAATTATTAATTTTTTACTCGATGATTGTAAATATATTTTATTATTTTCTAAGGTATGTGGACCTCGCTCCCATGGATAACTTTTTGCTTTATACCAACAGTTAACGATGGACCCAAAAAAAGAAAACGCATATTGAGTCAGGTCACGAGCACGTTAAAAACAAATAATACTACACTGCGCAGAGTCACGGGTGGCCATATTTTTCGTACTTCCAAAAATGCTGGCTCTTTCTTCTTCAGCATTAGATTTATATTTATTAATGAATACGTGAAAATGATGGAACTTGGAAGTTCATACTTACTACTACTAAACATGCAGCACATGCCTCAGCATCTCAAAAAAATGTAAATTGAAACACTCAGTAGTAAATTTCCCGAAAGTATGCTAAAAAATAGAAGCAATCACAACATGTCACCCTCTCGTGACATGGTGCAATTGCAATGCATGAAGCTACCTAAATAAATGAAATTCTGAAACTAGAAAGGCCTTGTGCGACGGCCACTTGCCCTCCCACAAAGAAATGCATTCTTGGGGACAGGATATTCGTCTCTCCATGACTTGGAAGGTGTATACACCCTCAGATAAAATTGTTGTCCCAAGTATTGCCTTGCCCAATTCTCAGACCTTATGTTCCACATTCCCACGTTGTCTAGCGCCATGTAGATTGCAGTCCATGACCTTGGATACACCTGAACGGTGCATCTAGCAACTGTGTCTCTCAGATTGTAGTGTACTCTACTGTCTTGTGTCCACTGTCCGCTACCAAACCTATTCATCTCATAAAATCATATGTTAGTTGTTACATTTAAGTTACATGAATATAATGCACCAATAAGTGGTTAGTTATTTAATTAAATAGTAAATAGTATGTATATTTGAACAAGACATACCCTACAACAAAGAAGGAATAGCCATCAATGTGCCATGATTGCACAGAGTCCTCCCAATTTTGGAACACAATCTCCACGAATTCGTGGAAATTGGCCCCCATGACAGAGGTTTGTAGGTAGGCATTATTGCCACTGCTAGGATAGGTAGGAATGCTTCCAACGTAGAAAACTCCTTGGATGTTGAAGTAGTCGGCTAGTTTCAATGGGGTATCTGGTGCAACGTATGAGACACCGTTTACGGCGTACCTCTGCTTGCCATTGATGTAAGGGGCGGAGTTTGCGAGCATGATGGTTCGGCTTGGTTGGATCAATCCATAGTGGTAAGATCCCTGAGGATTTGGTCTTGGTCCACTTGCTGTCAGGTTCCACCTGGTTTGGGATCATCAAAACAGAATACCAAGTTATTGGCTAATAAGTATTAGGTATGATCCTAAATGGTGCATGCAAGAGTTTATGTATAATTTGGTCCTGTAAAGTGGAAACTTGTGAAGATTTAGTTCCTAAAGTGCACATATAGACAAGTTAGCTCTAAGAGATGATTTATAAGTTGACAAATTAGTATGGTAAAATTGTTCACAGTTAACACTTGAGTCCAATTCATAGAAATGCAACCTTTCAAGGATTGGCAACACAATTTACAACTTCATGGACCAAATTGTATATTAGCTCAACAGAATAGCAGTACGCATCCAAAAGAATACCGGATAGTTCTGGCCTGGTAGACAGATGATGTGATATCAAGGGTAGGCCCTGGAGGAACAGGACCAGATACCCCTATGCGTGAATAGCTGTAATGAAGAATGGCAGTTGTTGTGAGTATCTGTCTGGTAAATCTGGTAGAGACAACTATGTAGTAATCCTTGACAGGTTGATCAGCTGTGACCAGCACGGAATAGGACTGTCCGAGATGGATGTCAAGGGAAGAATATGTGTTTTGGAGGGTATGAGATCCTTCTACCTCCACGAGTTTCAGAGTGTGCCCCTGAATTCTGAAGTTAATTGATGTTGTGAGCCCCACATTTGATATCCTGAATCTATAAGTTTTACCTGCAGATAAGGCATTGAAACAATGCTGTAATTAATTAAAGGCGTGCATTTGAAAATTAACAGCGGTAGCAGAGCACAAGGAAGTTCAGCAATGCCTTAAATGGACAATCATAAGTTATTTGGCTACCTACCTTGATCAACAGTGAATGTGTTTCCATTCCAACCACGTCCATTGATAAGAAGGCCATCAGGGAAGGGAAGATTATGACCATTTTCTAGGACTCGTCTCAGTCTCTACAATAACAAAGGGTAAGTATCAAAGGAATGATGAGGAGAGGATGAAAGGAAGAGAGGACAAATAGAAATGAATGCAAGAGGTTTACTCGGTGGTCTAGCTTGAACCAATCTCCAGCAAGTATGGTGAAGTCTCCAGCAGGAGGAGGAAAAGGGACAGGAATGAGAGGGCGGCTCCAAATTCTGATGCCACCAAATGCTCCAGCAGCTTTGTGCATTCCAAGAGATGGGAAGTAGAAATAACTACCAATCTGATCTTTTACCTGGATAGCATATGTGAGGTTCCTCCCGGGTGGAATTGGACAGTTTGTGCCAGACACTCCATCCTGCCAAGAATTCCTCCTGTGCTGTAAGCCATTCCTGCAGAAAACATGTGAATATCATCAAATTCTGAGAAACGGCAATTGTTTCTACATGCTAAATAAATACACTACATCATTTGTGTTTGTAAAAATCATTGGTATTAAATAACTTATGAAATAACATCAGTTCTGAAAAGTTAGCATATACATATGTTCATGAAATATAATTTAATATCCCTAAATATGTAACATTTGAGTTTATCTACGCAGAGAACCATGATACTTTACAAGAACCAAACTTGACAGGGGAATTCAATGTTGAGAATTCCATTTTGAGTTGAACCTTGAACAAACTCATGCAGTATAATGCTACTAAGAATTAATTACCAAGCACTTAGGATGCGAAAACCGGTTAAGTAATAAAAGGTTTCTGTTTGCAGCGTTGAGAAGATGGCTACAAACAGTTTTGTAATCCCATAATCTGATGAAATCATTGTAGTAATTTTACCCTGTCCCAAATTCTGTAAGCTGCTGTATTAGATTTCTAATAGTTCACAAGCTTCTCTTACTGACACTTTGTTATGGTGGGGATATGATTCAACCTTTGTCAAATGAAATAAAAGATTAATGTGGATCATATTCAAATTTGGGAATCAAAACTTGCATTGCTAAACAATACATCAATCTTTGTGATGTAACGTAAAAATAGTATCGACTTCCTACCATCTCATGTAGCATTGTTATGAGAGATGTCTAGTTTAGCAACCCAAGGGTACAAGCTTACTTTATTCAGTTGGATGGACACTCTTTATGGAGGTATGGAGTCTTATATAGACTCAACCAAACCAATAAATTCTGTTATAATTGTAGTTAATACATCTAGGATATGTTAGGTGACCTTCCTAAGTCGCCCAGTGCTCAAATATACTATTTTAATAATATGGATCTATTAGTCAGTCAATTGCAAGATGCTGAAATAGAATATTGTAATGAGGAATCCTTTTATGCAGCCACTCATGGAAACATAATTCACGCATTCAGTAATATAGGACATAGATTTGACCATATAGCATCATTAAAAATGGAATCTAACCTTTTATTGGTTGTTTGTTTGAAAGTGGTTTTTACAATTATTTTTTTCTCTCTAAATGATAGATTACACAAAAGAGGCCAAAAAGATAACACTGACAAAGACAAAAGTTTACAAGTTTGCAAGTTTGCATGCTCTCGTATATTGCAAGATTTCCCCTCTTTTTCAATTACTAAGGAAAATTAACAGATTTTGTTTAATTACCACACTAAATAAATCAAGCATACCAATTTATGTGGGCTCTGAACACCCAAGAAAAAAAAATTCCAGTTTAGGAACGACTGAATAAGTTCACGTGATCTATCAGAAACGTTAAGAAGCCAAAAACGAATTTTTGTTGGATAAAAAGGGACGAACTTTTAACAGTTTTTATTTTAAAGCTGGCATTAGAGAGACAGAAATTAAGGAACAAAAGCACAAGAATGCAGACAGGACTAATATACAAGAATGTACCAAGAAATGAGAAATGGCTCTCTGAGGTAGTTGTAGACATTGATAATCAAATTGTCATTTGTAACAGCGTCTATTTGGGGCCCCGGAAACTGGCCATTAATCAAGATCCCCTGCAAAATTGGAACCAAGAATCACATTGAACCAAAACATCTTCAACAAAGACTACCCCAACATGAGCTCAGCATGAAGCCAAGAAAAAGCATTTCCTTTCTCGAAAGAACATAACATAAAAAAGAGTGGCAGTTAGTTACAAGGGTAAAAAGAAAGAACCTGTTGCTTAACACCAAGAGGGTAGATGTCTCCATAAGTGACCTTCCAAGTGAAGTACCGATAAGGGTCTTCACAGTGGACGAAAGCAAAAAGGAATGTGACAAGAAGAATGAGGAAAGAGAGAAGATTGAACTTGCATGGCCTCATTGTGTATACACCAACTTCAGAAGGAAAACTGGAACAGATAGGATGAGTCTGGTATGATAACTTGCTGCTTATAATGTAATGTGAACCTCTCTACATTATAGATCTGTTGTCTTTCAGTTGTTAAACCAGATTTATAACACAAGTCAATAACAGAGAAGACAACCTATAACCAAGTCTACAACTAAATAATGTTTCACTATTCTAGTTTCACCTTCACCTTCTCCTTCCCCTTTTATTTCTAGTTTTATTTTTACTTTTGTTTCGATTTTTCTTTTTTCTTTTGGTTAGTGGAAGGAACTCTGCGACAAGTGAATGTGGAGCTGTACGTATTTTCTCTTTAAAAAAAAGGTTATCGGTTATATTTTTATATTACATTATATATTACATTCTGACTTTGATTAACTAATTAAGGTACAAGAATTATAATTTTATGTTTTTATCTAATAGTATATTTTGACTAAAATACCTTTACTTTTAATTTTTTTGGGGTGAAATTAATTATTTGAAATCATTGTGTAAAAGACTGATATTGACAAATAAATAAAGGTGGAGGAATTTACAAACTTATCATATGTCACGTGAAACCTCTCATTCCACCGACTAACCCTTGTTTTCTGTAGAGAACTGGTCCACAAAATGTAGAGTGGATAAATAATTTAAGGAAACATACTGTATTTATTTATTTCATGTAGTTTAAAATATAATATGGTTTTTTTTAACCATAAACTGAATTTTAGAAAGAGAGAATAGCATTCTTCTTGTCAGATACAATATTCTATCTTTTCTTTTTCATTCCATGAACACGTTGGATTAAGATGTAATATGATTTCATCCACTGAAAGTAAGTATAAAAATATGATTTTATACATGTTGTGAAATGAAATTGATGTTTTGTTGTAATGATTTAGAAGTATTTAGAGAAAAAGAGGGGGTAATTTCGATGAGGGGCAGGAGCTGAATTAGGTTTTGTTTGGTAGCGGAAGCAGAGAAAGATGGAGTGAGTTGTCATGGAGTGGAAGAAACAAAAGAGCATCGTGATCACATGCTTCAGAGTGGTCCCCACTCACACCACTAATGGATCACGCACGGTCATGGTTCCCTAATCCTACTCGCACTGCGTCCAAATTATTTAATATTCATCTCACATGCATTCATCTGACATCTTAAATCAACAAAACTAAACACTATGTCTGTCAGCACTCAGCAGTAACAAACACGATCGATATTTTACTTGCAACAAGATAATCTGAGACTCGTTCATGGTAACATTTTTTACTTTAACTTCGGTATCTGTATTGATATTAAAGTTGATGAATTGAAGTCTTGTGCATCTGACATTTTACATAGCCCTAACCCTAGAGAGTTATGTAGAAAAATAATCTAATTTTGTGATTCAACGCGAGAAAATTGTTTATTTTTATGTACTGGTGTGTGAGGGTAAGAAGTGGGAGGGAGTCTATCATTTTCAATTGATTCATTTCATATGAAAACCTTAACCTCTACTACTAGGCTAGGTTTAATTGTGGCAATTAATAAAATTGTGAAGCAAAAGTAGCACATGGCAACACGAAGGAGCATAATGCAGGGACTATGGTTAGAGATATGACACTTGTTACATGCAAATACTAGCTATGATGCAAAAAAATGAAGGTGAAGCAGATATTTACTAAGGCTCGTGATTGGTTTATTATAACCTATTCATTTACGGTGACTACCGACAATACCAGCAAATTCCACTCACCCCATCTTCATTTATGACCCTTCTAATAATGGACCATGATTCCTTAAAAGGGTTCAATATGGGATATACTCTCCCTCTTTTCTTTTAAGTGTTAGTAACTATTTTTTTATTATTATTATTTGTATGATTTAAGATCATATAGTTATTATTTTATCAATTATATTTTATGTATCTTTTCATTTTTAAACATGTAATTTGTAACTAAATTATTAGAATAAAAAATTATTATATTTTGTATTTTTAAAATGTATGTAAACAAATAAAAAAATGATCACGGCTATTAATAACAGTAACGGTGAAAGGAGTTATTTAAATATTATGTCAATGTAATCACTTTATTGAATAATTTTAATTTTATAAATAATTAAAGTTTATAACAACAATTTATTAAAATTAAATTTAAAAAAATTAGTTTAATATATATATATATATATAATCTTTTTCTTTTAGCTTTTAAAAGAAAATCAATTTCATTATATTCGTTTATTTTCTTTTTACTAACTCAACCTACTAAATTTTTTATTGAGAAAAACGATCTTATATCTTACTAAATGATATTCGCACTTCATTGTACCTTTCAATTTTAAAATATAAACTCGCATCTGTTCTTTTTAATAAGTATGTTGATTAAATTTAATTAGAATAAATTTTGAAATTTTAAATTTTAAATATTATAATTGAATTTTTATAAGAAAGGATTGAATGTTTTAGTTACTATGTTATTTCTTATTGGGTTAGATAACTTAATTTATATACGGACTGTGTTCTTTTAAACAAGACAAATCACTTTTTATCTTTTCTCATTAAATTAATGTTATTTTTATACTTTAAATTTTATCGTGTTAATGACCGTTTGCATACATAGTAACAGTTTTAATCTAATATAAAATGACATTAATCATTTAAACAGTAATATTTACTTATAGAATTATACATACACAAATAACACATGTTAGTAAAAAAAATATCATAAACTTCAGTTTTTGAGGTTATAAGTCTATTGCAAAAGAAAAAAAATTAAAATGAAAATGGTGATAGATAAACTTTTAATATCTATAACTATTATTTAATGAAATTCAATTATAAATCATAAATAAATTATAAAATGGTTAACAGTGTCCTTTTAATCTACTTTACTTTTATTCTTAAAAAAAAATTGAGAGATTCAGATGCGTCGTTACAGTCAAAATAATTATAGAACTTTAAACAAATAATGTTAAAAAGACTCTTAACAAGATTTAGTTGGTTAGTTATATATATATATATATATATATATATATATATATATATATATATATATATATATATATATATATATATATATATATTATTATTTTTAAGTTTTTATTTATTAGTTAATATTTTGTATTAAATAAAAATTTAAAAAATTACTATATATATATTAAAATATTTAATTATAATTAATAATTTAAATTATAATATTATATTTATATATTTCAACCACTTAATATAAAAAATATTATATTTTTAATTATAATTATTTTTATTTCAATATATAATTTTTTTAAAACAACTTACTCCGCCTCATCTATCTTTGACCAACTTGGTGAATTAAGTAAAACGAAAGAAAATAGATTAATCATATCAACTCAACTCATGAAATCTAACAAAATTTATCATCCTAATAATCATTACGTGTAAAAAAATAATTATATGATGAGTAATAAAATTATTCCCGTAGAAAAACCAGATTGCAAATTTTTGTGAAGGAGTTAATTATTTCCAAATTTTGTCATCGGTGTTTTCTTCACAGTTTCAGATTTTTTTTTTTTTTCTTGGAGTAACTGATGGTAGCTGTGAAGCTAAGCAAACCGCGTCTCATTCCATTCTTCAAACAAATATAAACATGTTTAAAAGTTAGTGGGAGATTAGATATACAGAATATGGCGTCGGCAGAATGCACGAACATATTTATGATTTTGCATTGAAAACCATTAGTTGGAGTCATATGGCACTGTGACTTCAAACACATATCAGAAACTTAATAAATGCTCTACCTGAAATGGCCATGAAATAATCAATAGTATAGCTCAACAAAAAAAGCTTCAGCACTGAAATAATCGCTACCTACACTCTCCCCCACATTATTATTACTACTATTCTTGCCAAGTATCCTTGTGTTGAGCTATCAACAACCATTCTCAGGTCTTGCCAATTAAACAACCAAGCAAAACCTCAGAAGTCACAATAACTTTCTCACAAAATTTAAACTTAATTAAACCAGTAGCCATCTCAGCATGTATTAGCTTGAATGCTCGATCGATTGTACATGCCTCACTTAAAGTTTTAAACTTCATGGAGCATAATCAATTTAAAAGCTCAATGTTCTTTCCATGCTTAGAATTGTATATTTTTTCAAATTAATTCTTAAATGTTAAAAATATATTTATAAGAAAATCTCATCTTCCACATGCATCCTTACAAATTATCATTACAATTCAATTATATCCTTGCCTATTTATAAGAGATTAAAATTATTTTTAAATTTTTTATTTGAATTTTAGAATTATATTAAAACTTTTATATAGTTTTAAAAGGTAAATTGATTATTCTATGCCTTATTTTAAGATGTCACAAAACCTTTCAGATCAAGATTAACTCTTGAATGCTTACAAAGCACTTAAATACTTTTACAGAAATCACATTTTTTTAAATTTTAAACTTAAATAATTTACAGATTACATTTCAAGGAATATTAATTTAATTTTTTCTTAGTTTCAGATACTAGAATAAATGCTGAAAGAATATTATGTCAGCATATTGCACAATATTCTGAAAGACTAGCAAAAAGATGTTAGTATATATCAACCAAGCAAGGCATCAATTTTCAGAATCTAAGCAAGCACCAATTGGCTAAATTTTTGGTAGTTAAAATACAGCATTTGTCCCCGTGTACAATGACAGTGACGTCTCCATTGCAATTTTGCTGTAATCTAAACAAAATTGCATGCAAAACATGCCTTAGATACAGAACCGGCAGAGAGTGAGAACATGAAAACAAAGGTTTCAAAAACCAGATTCTCCGGACTGGCATTACTTAATAGAAATTGTCAAAAGCAAGCCAAAATGATCACTAGGCAAAACTGGGAGTTCCAGTTGTTTGATCTCATTTCTTACTTTCTTTTCTTTGTTGTATGAAACACCAGGTATCACTTCCATCCCAATCATGTCAACACTAGTTATCTTAAAATCAGTTAAATGACAAATGAAGCGATCTAGTCGCTTTTGGAGAGTACGGTTGCCTGTCAACATCTTGTTCGCCTTGGTGTCATAAGTCCAACCACTTTCATTTGGCCTTAGCTGAGACCAGGCATCAACCCATCCATCTTGCAAAGGATACTGGCCATCATGTTTGTCATCCCAGTTCATATCACCTCCAAAAACAACATTTGGCTGTTTCTTGAGAAGGTTTACAGCCTCATTGGCCTGCACTACTCTTTCCTTGCTGAACATCTGATCCCATTTGGGAGGGGCTGGACAGGGACTCTCAAGATGGCTAGTGGCAATAACCAATGACTTGCCACTTGCAGCTTCAACCTCGGCAATGCAAAGTTCTCTTCCCATAACAGAATTGCTGAAGGGCTTATTGCTGAAAGATTTAACAGGCTGTTTGCTTAGCTGCAATTGGGTAGACAGGTATGTCAGTAAAACATGACTACCTCTTTGCCAAATAAAAGTGCTCATTCAAAAGTATATATAATCTCCAACAACTGAAAAAAATAAATAAAATCCAGCTAAAAGCAGACAAAACAGAAACAAGTTCAAAGGATAAACTATCACGATGATTATTAGTATTACAAACATAACAACAAAAAATTATCAATAGACGAGTATGGACAAATTTGGTCATACTTTCAAAAGACTCGTGAACAAACCGTGTGTTAGCAGAAAAAATAACACATGCCAATCACACCAAAAATGGTGACAATATTAAATTTGAAATAATAACCACGTCATCAAAATAAATGCACCATATGAACTAAAAAGGGGTTCACTTTATAACACACCGAACACGATATATATCAACACAAAGCCAAACGTTCCAAGATATGAAACATACCAACATACAAAAGTAGGGTCTTGAATAAGCAATCTCAGAAGAAACCGAGCAATGATACCCACTCCACCAAGTGGATTGCTTGAATATGTCATATATATTGGGAGTAACCTCCTGAGGCAGCAGCGGTTCAAATTACGCAAAGCGACAAAAATTCAAAAATTTTCAAATAAGAAAGAAAGCCATGACAATACTGAAACCTGGAAGCAGACAAAATCAGGGGAATGCAACTGAACAAGATCACCAATAGCATTCATCCTCTTGTGCAACTCCAAATCTTCCCGGAACCAAACATTGTAACTCAGAATCTTAAACGAACTAAAAGTTTCTCTGGCGTCGACATTCTCTGCAACTGACAATAGCTTTTCATAAAACGCATATTTTTGCATGCATTAAAATAAATAAAAAGCATAGAAACATGCTCACCATACCGGTGATACGAATAGCCTTATTAAACGGCTTAACCTTCCTTGAAGAATCATCATCGTCAACAATATGAACTTCATCGGTGGTCCGTTTCTTACTACAGTGTCGAAGAGGGAAGAAAACAGAGCCAACGGAAGAATCGTGGTCAGTGGCATCATTCAGGTCGTTGAGATTGGAAAGGGAGAGGACGGGGCATCGAGTGTCACAGACCTCGCAAGAAGGGTTGTTGTAAGGGTTTAAGAAAGTGCAGCCCTTGCACGACCATTTTGGGGGCGACGAAGACGAAGGACCCGTTGGGGACGAGGAGGACAAGCAGATTTGGCACTCCCATTTTTGGGAAGGAGGGTTCACAAAAGTGCATTTTTTGCAGGCCCAAGACATCGGAGATAGAATGCGAACCGATCGAAATTTTCTAGGGTTTATGAGAACCGAGCATGAAGAGTATAGCAATCGTAGTCGCATTCTACTCATTTCATTTCAAAGTTCTCGCGGTTTTGTACTGCTATCAAAATCAAAACACGATGCTTAGTTTGTGAAATTATAAATAACATTAGTTAATTTTTCAATAAGCGGGGATAGCTCAGTTGGGAGAGCGTCAGACTGAAGATCTGAAGGTCACGTGTTCGATCCACGTTCACCGCATTACTTTTAAAGTAGTGGTGGTCTCGATTTTTTTGCATCTTAGGAATTTCAAGTTGTAATCTTCGTTGAGTTAGCTGGATCACAATTCCACATCTCATTCCCATCTTCTTAGGTTTCGGATTCTTTTTGAATGAAGTATACACTTATTAGAAATGTTAATACTTTAATAAAACAAACTTTTTTAGGTAATTTATTCAAATTAATTAATGACGCGTATTCCATAACTTTAAAAGCACGTTTTAACTTAGAGGAAGGAAAAGTTGGCACAATGAACTCAGAAAGTGAAAAATGGTAGGCATGAAGACCACTGTCACGCTTTTGGTGAGAGAAAAAAGCATTCTCAGCTACACAGCTACCTTTCAAAACTAACTTAAATTTTCTTGCAGGTTGAAAAGAAATGATTTTTTTTTTGTATTTGGTACATGAATATATATATTTGGTACACAAATTTCTAGCCAAAAAAATTGAAGGAGAAAAGTGAGCCCGAAAAATGACCCAAATCAAATCATGACTCATGAGCCTCCAACACAGATAATGGTGACATGTTTGATGATACACATGCTAAACAAATTGATTAACAATGCAATTTTAAGAAATACACACGTTAATTACAAGAGCCCTACGAAAAATTATCAACGCTACTTTCTTATAAAAGGAAGCATCTACATAAGCCCTAAGTTTAGACCTACAGATCATGCACGATTCCTTTTCTCTTATGACCTTATCCTTAACTCTATCAAATTCAAAATTCCAAAAAGATCAAAAAATTCAATTATTTGCACCTCATAAAAGGACCAACAACAACATAGGAAGACATGCATCCAAGACAATGTGCAAAATGTTGTGGATTGCACTTATTTTTATTCTGTTAAAGGTTTTGAGCCTCCACTTTTCCCCTGCACTGCTTGATACTGTAGAGTTCACCACTTCCTTTGTCTTGTTGCTCACTTTTTTACTGCATCACATCGAGTGAGGAATCAATCACACTTGTTGGGTAAAGATGCAGGTTGTTCAATAAAATTCCAATGTTCAGATTTTGAGCATAACAAAGATCCTCATTATAGGACCATACATGATAATAATTTAGAAAAGAATACGGAATGGAAATTGTTTCTTACCTTCCAGGAAATATACAGCTCCCGTGACCTAGCATGAAAGAAAAAAAAAATATTAATTAAACCTGGAAACAGACAACAAAGGGAAAAAAAAAAAACACAAAAACGTGGAGCCCATTTTACACTGATCATATCTCTAAAGTACTTGCTCGAGCTAGCAAGCAAGACTACAGTAAGAAATTGTTGCCCTGTAAAATTTGGAGAGTACGAAAATTACAACTCTGAAGGTAATCTAGAAACACGGTCCAGAATCCTTGCATTTGTCAGGAGAAACAGTGTGCTCTCAGACAAACCAGCATCCAACTAAGTCATGGAGTGGGTGCCAGTCCATGGCAATGCAATTGCCAGCTCCCCCTTTCTCTTTAATTTTCACATAATAAAGCCAAACCAAAGGGGGCCTTTGCAATGCGTGGCCACCACACACAAAAAATGCCTCGAATCATTACCTCCCCATCCCTCTATTTTCAAATCATTTCCCTTTTCTCATCATAAGTAAACACTCACAAAGTAAGCCCTCTAATCACTAAGTGCTATTTCAGCCGTAAGGTCTATACTAATCCTTACCTAAACTATTCATTAAAAAAAGAGAGAGTAAAGTCTCTTGCAAAGTAAACCCTGGAATCTCTAATAGTCATGTCATGATCTTAATGAGTTTCTTGAAACCAACTCTCTCACGATAGTCACCCAAGACTTTTTTTTATTCTTAATCAGTTAATTGTGCTCTATTGCCACAAACTTAAGGTATGCTAATTAGAGAAAACAAGAAAGAAGGACAGTAGTTACTCTAAATAAACAACACATTTACAACAATTGATTAAAGATCTATTTCCCGTTTCTCTTGTTTCCAATTGCAGCTTAATTGAGCAAGATGACGATGATAAAACTCAAAACTGAACTTACTGGGATCAGTGGTGGTGATCATAGCCACCCCTTTGAAGTCACAAGTCCCCTGAGCCTTGCCCTCTTTCTGGTAATAGCTGTCAAACGCATAAGAAGCATGGTTCTTCACATTATTAGGCTGGTAGCAACTCTCCCCAGGCTGAATCTCCGAACAATTGGCCCTTCCCGGTCCACACGCCCAATCCAGCGCAGCCTGCAGCGTCTTCGAATCAAACCCATCCATGGCAATGCAGTATGTCTGATTGGTAGTATCATTCGCCAAAAAGGTCCCAATTCCAGATACATGAAGCAGATACGCCGGCGTAGAGTTCCCATAAAACAAACCCCAATTGGCTTCCGACACCGGCGGAGCCCTCAAGTCTTCATTAAAGAGTTCATAGATAAACACATTGGAAGTAGTCTCAGGATGCAAAGGGGTTCCGCTGCGATCAAAAACATGCCGAATTAAATTGGAATTGTAAGTATCAGCATTGTCCTTGGTGGCATAAGGCTCTTTAGAGTCACCCTTGGCAGGCCACCCAGTTTCGGTGACAAGAACGACAACATCGGTGATGTTGAGGTTCTTCATGGAGAAATATGCGGCGTCGACCATAGCATCGAGCACATTGGTGTAGTGAAGCAAGGTGTTGGGGTCGACCATTTCCTTGTTAGGAGTGAGGGGTTTGAAGAGGGCATTGTCGAGAGGAACCACGCCCTTGTTCTGCATGAAGACGTAGTAAGGGTAGAGGTTCATCATGAGAGGGGAACCGGTGCGGGAAAGGAACTGAAGAAGAGGCAGAATGACGGAGACGAGGGTTTGGTTGAAGTAAGCCTGAGAGGGAGGGAAAGGGTCGAGAATAATGGAGGCCGCGTGAGGGGTTGAGACCTTGATCTGTTGGTGGAGGTTAGAAGCGACGAGGGCGTTGTAGAGGGACTCGACAGCGGGGAGAATGAGAGGGGCGGAGGAAGGGACGGTGGTGAGAACCTCGTCGCCGACGGAAATTCCAGCGATGAGGGTTTGGGGGTAGTAAGCGACGACGTTTCGGTCGATCCAGGAAGCTGCAGTGGTGTTGGAGGAGCCAATGGCGAGGAGCTGGTTGTTGGGGACGCTGATGATGACGCGAATCTTGGTGCCCGACAAGGCTTTGAGTATGTCCGGGTTAGCATCGTAGATTCGCACGTGCGTTATTTTCTGCAGTTGAAGGAACGCGACCAGGTCCGAGGCTGGTGGAAGGTTCGAGACGTCCGTGCCGATGTTCACGCCCACGAATGGAAGCTTCTCGTCTTCCTCTTCATTTTGCTGCTTCAACAGTGAATGTAATGGTTCTGCTCCAGCTGCAACGCAAATGCAAAGTGAGTTAATTACTATAATTAAGCATTGGTAAGAGTTGCTTTGCTACCACTAATTGGTGAAGTTGGAGAGTTTATAAGGAGTTTTGAAGTTTGTTGAGTACCGAAGGCGGAGAAAGAGAGGAAGAGGATGTGAAAGAGAAAGATGAGCTTAGAGTTTGCCATTGAAGAGGAGGGTGAACTTCACTTCCTCATCCCCTGCTTCTGATTCTGCTTCAGCTGCTGCTACACCTACAGATCCTTGCATTATCTCATCAAAAGATTATTATTTATTTGTTTATTCGAATAATATTTAGTATTTAAGGTAGGTGGAATTTGGTTGTGTTGGTGAGAGCGAACAGAGGAAGAAAATGTAGAGAGGAGGGATGGGGTTAAGAATTTAAGCGGAAAGAGATATCTACCAAATTATGGAGAATGCCAACTGGGAAATGTTGGTTACTTCACTCTCTTTTCAGACTTTACTGCAAACTATTCTTCTGTATCCCTTAAGATTCGCTGGTCCATCCTACATATTTTCGTCCTCTTCTTTCTCTAAAATGCCCTTCAAATACAACCCTATATAGCCTATAGGAAAAAAAAACCTATTTGTGCGTCTATTTAATAAAGAGAAGTTAAAAAGGTTTTAAATTTTAAAACTTTTTATTTTCAATGTCCTTCACTCGTAGAAAGGTGTAACATGTTTGATTATTAAAAATTTGAATTAAGAAAACAGACATCCCACGGACTTAATTTGGGAAAGGGGCTTGGCTTTGTTTGTCCGAGTTTAGCCATTTGCACAGAGGAAAATAGAAAAATAAACAAAATTTGTCGGACCTTTGGACAAAGTGGCTGGGGTAAAACTGTAATTCAACCGTTCATTGGTGGAAGACAGTGGCTTGGCCTCCATTTCTTTTTGGTCTATTTGCCTTATCTTCTGTTTTACTTTCTACCCAAAATAATGTGTGCGTGCTTACTAACTTTAAAAATTAATATCTAATGTCTTCTACTTCATTTTAATAGTTTTTATTATTCTTAAATTATAAAATTACAGCAGAAGAAACTTCTTTCTAAATTTCCAAGTAGGGATGGCAAAACGGACTAGGCTCGACGGGTTGGCGGGCGGGTTGGTGTTTTCAGCCCACCAGCCCGCTTTGGCACTGTCCCGCTAAGCCCGCCAACCCGTCGAGCCAACTCGCGGGACGAGGCGGGACGGCCACGTAGCCCGCCTAATTAATAAAAAAATAATTTTTTATTGTAATAAATTTAATTATAAAGATAATATATAAAGTTAAAAATTTTAAAAAGAGAATTAAAAAGTTTCATTCTCACGAGAAAATATTCTCCTTCCCGAAATATAACCTTCTCTCACGTTCTCCTTATTTATCCTAAGTACTTGATTATATTTATCCTTATTACTTGAATTAAAGGTATAAGAATTACTCAACCAAGTATAATATGAAGTTTTATCAAATAAAAAAGATATAGGTATTTGAATTTTTCAATATAAAAAATATAAATTTTATAAGTTTAACGTTATTTATATATATATATATATATATATATATATATATATTTGTTATTATTTATTATTATGTAAATTTTATTATTGTTCTAAATTATAATTTCTTAAAATAATATATTGATTTATATTATTAAATTGAAATAATATATATATATATTGAATTATTGACAAACAAATAATAATCTTATTATTAAATTTATTAAAAAAATTATTTTTTTAAATTATGGCTAGCCAGCCATAGCCTACCTGGCGGGACAGGCCAAGGTCTACAGCCCGTCATGACTATATCGGACCAGCCCGTCCCGCCCCGCTTTTGGCGAACCAAAGGCGGGGCGGGCCAAAACGGGACGGGCTGGCCCGTTTTGCCATCCCTATTTCCAAGTATGTTATAATGCTTTCGAAAGTTACAGTGGTTTACTTCCTGAATAATCTTTACAGCACTCGAATCAACATAGATTAACTAACTTAATTAATTATGATTATGCAAATCATGTACTATTGGGAAACGCACAAGCCTTCTTGTGCTGTGTGCCGAGCTAAAAGGGGTAATCAAAATGAAAATGTAATTTTCCTAGCATTGGCATCTTAATTGGGATGAGATAAGTTATATTTTCTGTTATTTTTTAGCAAGATGAAGTACAAAACAAGATATTATAACCAGTGGCGTTGTTATTGATTTGAACATGTGAAAACTCTGTTAGCAACAAAACAAGTAACATTCAGAAAACTAGCAGGAGTGGCAGTTTTGCTGGGGAAGCAAACAGAGAAACACAAGTGGCTTTGTTAATTAAATTACCACGAGCACACACACACACACACACCGTAACGGAAGAGACATGGTGAACCAGAAAGACAGAATCCCATGTGTTCATGCATTGGTACACCATAGAATATCATCAGACTATATCACAAGCATCCAATCAACCCTTCACTATTGTCAAATCTATGAACAGTTTGGGCCACCAACATGTCACTCATATCATTTGCACTTTGAAGCTTTAAATTTTAATAATAATTAGTTAAAGAATAACTATCATTATGTTTGCTTAGATAACCGACTTTATATCAGTAAAGAAGAAAGGGGAAAACAATGAATTGAGATGTCCCAACTCATGCCCACTAAACTACTCTCTACAGGAATGCTATTGAGGCATCACAGTGGGGTTCCTCACCCACAAACTCACCACATGTTCTCATCCCTATGATTCAAAGAATAGACTTTTAACTAAAAATTGTCAAAAAAAAACAAGCATAAGTAGACATAATAAAGATTATATATATTAATGGACAAAAATATTTGTTGCAATCTGTTGAATTTGAAACAGCTGTTCTGGCAGCAAAGCAAAATTGTAATTGTATGAGTTTATTTTTCCCACTTTCCATTCACTGCTACTTTTTTCTGCAAATACCACTTTGTCGGCTAATTTTCGCTCAGACCATCAGTAATTAGTTGCTATACCTAACATAAAATGCCAAAAACTGTTCTCGGTCATGTTAGTTATAATTTCCATTATTTACACAAAAATTTCACTTGACTAATTCAACTCTCACTCAAGTATCTATGATCAGAGGCATGAGTATTGAGAATTGAGTAACTTCATTTGGCTATATCTCTTGAAGGCAAGAAAAATACAGACTATAGCACTTGAGAAATCAGAAGTGAGTAATGACAAGAATTCTGCAACTTGATAGAGTGATCAAGAGTGTATGTGTGATATAGTTTGCTGACAACAGCACCATGTCAAACTATTAATATTAGAGGGTTTAGACGATTGGTCAGCAAGATTGCTGCAACCTTTAATGGCACAAACATGTCCTTCATACTTAGTTATGCCTGCAAATTTTTATTCTTCCCTCCAAAGGATAGGATAGTCTATCTTACTGCAAACACCAATAGGTTTATTCAAGCAAAAGTCGATTACAATTAAGAAAAAAAAACAATTATATGTGATGTATAATTATTAATTATAAAAATATAACTTTAAAAGAGAATATCTATGGGCAGTGGTGATAAATTTAAATATATGAAAAGATAAAAATAAGAGAAAATTCCAATTTTTTTAGAAACTAAATAAAATTTATATCAGAAACTAGATTGTAGTTCAACTACTAAAATGAAATTTTAGGTCTAAAATTAACATGTAAGGCATCATGTTATTAAGAGTAATACCTACTTTTCATGACTTAATAAAAATAATTTTTTTTACAAAAATAAAACTGATGACAGTTTAATTCAAAATTAATTTAAGATTGTATTATTTTTTTAGAAACAAAATCGGCTCTTATAAATATAATCATTTTTTTACTATAAAATAAAGAAAAAATATATTTTCTCTTTACATACTCTTTCCTTTTTAGCATACATCTAGTCATGTCCAACAACATCTTATTCTTTCTCTCAACTAGCCCATTATGTTGTGGTGTGTAGGATACAGTCATCTCATGTATCATTCTTTTCCTTCACATAACTTACTAAATTCCCTGGACTTGTATTCACCTCCTCCATTTATTATGAGAATTTGTAAACATTTCTCAGTTTGTCTCTCCACAAATGCACAAAATTTGATAAATACATAAAACACATCTCCCTTTTCCTTTGGTAGATATACTTAAATCTTCCTTGAAAACTCATATAAGAAGGTAAAAAAATACTTATTTCCTCCAAGTGATGGTGTGTCCAGAGGACCACACACATCTGAGTGCACAACCTCCAATACCTTCCTAGCTCATTCTGGTACAGAGGTTTCAAAAGCCTTTCTAGGTTATTTGTCAATTACACAACTCTCACAAACCTTTACTAGTAACTAAATTTGTGGCATTTCACTCACCATCTGCCTAGTGCTGAGCTGACTCAAACTCTTGAAATTCAAATGACCATATCGATAGTGTCATAGTCAACTCTCTTCCTCCACATTAGTTGCTGATAGATATTGTATTTCAATGGCATCCAAATTCACTTTGAAGGTCCTCTTCTTGGATAGTAGTACTTTAATCACTAGCCTATTTTGTGAATCAAATATTTCAATAAATTTCTGTTGCATGTTCATAGTATAACCTTTCTTCAATAATTGTCCCAGACTGAGCATATTATTTTTCATGCTTGGGACATATAGAACATCATTCATGTAGGTAACCTTTCCATCCTTGCGTGTAATCATCATCTTCTCAATTCTTTCTGTCACAATGGATTTATTATTAGCAAATTTTCACTATTTTTCACATATGGGTTGAGATCAATCAACCAACTTCTGTTCCTAGTCATGTGATTAGAGCATCATATGTCCAAGTACTAGGATGTGTTATCCTCTTCACTGGTTATTGTTGTCATCAACAATACTTGGTCTGAATCAGACCCACCTTCTTCTTTTTGCATCAGATTAGCTTCTTCTCTATTCTGTCCATTCTTTGAAGTATTATCTTGTCAACATTCATATGAATAATGTCCAAATTTTGTTGCAGTTGTAGCACTATATTTTTCTTTTATTATTATAGGGTCTTTTACCACCACTCCCTCTTCCTCTATATTAGCTTTCTCCTCTTCTTTCATTTCCCATTGTTTCCAGACTGCTCTTGGGACACTGGTTCACCATTTTTACCTCCATTTCTGTTCCCAAATCTTACACCTCTGCCTTTTCAACCTCTTCCATTCTGACCAATCTTGGCTTGTAAAGTTTGTTCTACCACCTTTTCATAGTTCTTTCTTTCATTCACTGTTTGTTCATGTACTTCAAGAGAGCTTTTTAATCCTTCTACTGTTATAACATCAAGATCCTTTGATTCCTCTATGATAACCACAATATGATCGAATCTTGGAGTTAAAGTTCTTAAAACTTTCTCCACAATATTGCAATCTTCTATGCTTTCATCATACGTTCTCATGGCATTGGTAAGTACTTGTAACCTGTCAAAATATTCAGCCACTGTCTCATGTTTCGTCATGGAAAAGAATTCATATTGCCTCCTTAAAGATTGCAGTTTCACTTTCTTGATTTTTCAAGAATTTTCCTACTCATTCTGCAAGATATCCCAAATGTCCTTTGTTGTGGCAGCTTTTGAAATTTTCTAGAAAATATTGGCAGCAACACATTAATGTAGCAATACTCGAGCCTTGCAGTCCAGCTTCTTCATCTCTTTAAATGTTTTTTGGCTTTGCCATCAACATTTTTGGGTGGTTCTTTGAAACTCACCTACACGATTTCATCAATTTCTTGGAAACTAAGAATCGCTTCCATCTTTATGCACTAATCATAGTAACCTTTTTCCATCAAACACTAGTAAGCTTCCTGGTATCAAATTTTGTTAGCAACAGAACCAGCTCCTATAAATACAATCATTTTTTTATTATAAAATAACTACAAGTTAATAAAGGACAAATACTTATTTTC